AATGAGAGCGGGCTTTAATTCTAGTGCAGTATCCACCATCTGTGAGATGTTGACAAACCTGCAGATGTCCAGGGCTGGAGGTTTTCTTATCACCCCATCTAAGAAGATAACTTGCAAATTATGACTGAATAATTAACCTAAATAACTGTTATTCTGGATTTATGACCGCCTTAGCTGATGGATTGTTGAAGAGTTCTTTTAGTTAGACTGAGAAAGCTATTACCTTAATGTGGAGTTTTATATTTTTGCTAACTTATTGATTATTACCACAGCGGGTTCTTTCCTATGTGCATCCACAGGAGAGCCCTTGATGAGATGTACGTGATGATGTAATCACCCAGATGTCATAACTTACATGCTTCTTACGTCATCAGTCATGTCATCATTTTGGCTTCATTACAGTTTGCTGAAAATGCCATTAAGTGCTATAATTATTTATAAAACCTGCCAGAGGTACAAAGGGGGAAAAACAAGCAAGGTTTTTGCCCTTGAGATCAGTTCAGCTTAATTCTTTAGAGTCAAACCAAATTCAAAATTAAAATATACAATTCCCCAAAGCAAGTAGCGAAAATAAACAATTGTGGCTGAGAAATTAAAAATGAAATAGAATAAAACTTAAAAAAAAAGTAATCCATTTGTTTGGCCAAAACAGATTTCTAAAAGTGGCTGTCCTTAAAATCCTTGCTGTTTCATATGCTGTAGATAATGAAGTAACATAGAATGAGGAAATAGCGTGATTTTTTTTTTGTCTGTAATTTTTCCCTTGCACCATACAATAATGGCATTTAAAGACAAGTGCAGATTTCTGTTTCCACATATGGTACTGTTTTTTTTTATTCCATATGTCCATTATACTAATTTAAAAAATTCCTCTGTGTCCAGAGGCACTGTTGCCATCCTTTTTAGTTCTTTAGCCACTGGGTAAGCTGAATTTTCCCAAACATCTACAGCTTCAAAGGGCACCTCAAAAGAAAACTGAACAGAATCATCAAATCAGTGGAAAGCCTAGGAATAATTTTTTTTAAAAAAAAAATCTTATATAGGTAGTCCTCGACGTACAATTGTAATTGAGCCTGGAATTACAGTCATAAGTCTTGCCAGTCATTAAGTGGATTGCCATGTGACCAGGTCCAATTTTACAAACTTTTTTGTGGTACGTTTCCAGAATTCTTCAGTTGGCATGGCAATCGTTTAGAATTCTGGGAAATGAAGGCCACGCTTTTGAAGGGGTCCCAAATCTGGGAACTGTACAGGCCAGAGGAAGCTGAGGCATAGCCATCTTTCAATGGCCCCTGGAACTGTGGTAGTTCAGCAAAGTTGTGCCTTCTATTATTTCTTCTATTATTATCTATTGTTTGAGCTTCTCTTTAGGGTTCAAATGGAAATGCAGATGTGATAATCCTATCAGAAAGACTGGAGCCAGGAAGCTTAGGGGTGATGGGATGAGAAAGACAAAGATCCCTAGAATCAACAAACCCTCACACCAAAAAATCCAACATAGGACATAGTCATCAGCCACACCTCCAGGGAAGCAGGATATGACCTTTGGGACACCATCAGACCACCATCAGAATATCAGAAAGGCACACTCAGACTAAGGTCAAAGTACATGACACAGGAAATACAAAGCCTCAAACAGGAACAGGAAACAACCTCAAAAGCCCCAGAAGGTATAAAAACCCACCACTCCCAGCAACATGTGGTCAGCTTTCCCAGAGCCATCTTTCTGTTTGGCTCTCCTCTTCAATAAACTACAACCGTTTTAAAGCAGTCTCCATTTTGTTTATTCCCGGCTTGGACTGGATCCTGATGAAGATTTTTCTTTCAACAGTACTAAGGTACAACCCATCACTTTTCTACCTTTATTTCAACTTAAAAGCAAGTTGCCTAGGAATTCTGACTCCATGATCTGGCAGTGCTCAGTGGACTAACTATGGACACAAAGAAGAGGAGGTCAACTTATTTTCCAAAGCACCAAAAAGCATGACAAAAAAACAATGGATGGAAACTAATCAAGGAGAAAAGCAACCTGAAATTAAGGAGAAACTTCCTAACAGTGAGAACAATTAACCAGTGGAACAGCTTCCCATCAGAAGCTGTAGGTACTCCACCACTGGAGGTTTTTAAGAAGAGACTGGACAGCCACTTGTCTGAACTGATATAGGGTCTCCTGCTTGAGTAGAGGTTGGACTAGAAGACCTTCAAGATGCCTTCCAGCTCTATTCTGTTTGATTGACTATTCACCTCTGATAGTTGGATCCCAACTCACTTAGTCTCTTTCATCCCCTCCGAGTGGTTTCTGGATGTTTTTTTTTTCTATCTTGTTTATCACACTATAAAGCATTGCACAATATCTCACGAGTCCAGGTGTCATCACTGGATTATACCACAAGTTTTTTATTGGAAGTCTTACTCAATTGTAGCCCAAATTCTTGATCTCTTTAAGATAGTGGATGGATGCCCAATTGCCAAAAGAGATTAAAGGAAAAAGACCAGGGTGCAAAACTGAACAGGAAGGAATAAAGGCACGAGGTAACCTGTGAGCATTTCACAAGCCATCAAGTAAGAGATCCTCTCGATTACACAACGCTGGTCATCAAGCACAAGCTACAGAGTTTGGTATGTCTCTCCCTGTATGTACATAAAGTCTAAAATAACCAACTGTTGGAATCTAAGCCCTGACATAGTTTGATCTCTTGACAAACAACTCTGAGATTTCACAACATGCAGACAGATTTAACCATAGTTTAACCATAGCTGAGAAAAATGTGACCATCCTAGACCAAGCCAAATCCAAAAATGCCAGGGAATTTCTAGAAGGCTGGCACTCTGACAAATCAGCCATCAATAGACACATAGACATTAGCAACATCTATATACTATGCAAAAGAGACTATCAACCAGCCCAAAAAGGAAGAAAAAGATCCAAGCACCTCTCCATCAGCAATCAGCACCCAGATCAGCATAGATTCACTCCAAGGTTAACATCAGACCAACAATCAAGAAAACAATACCCCAGTCAAGAAACTGCCAAAGAGTCATTAGTAAACAGCCCAACCAAAGACTCTCTAAGATCAACCCCACCACCACCATCATTGACAGGCAAGCCACTAGAATATAAGCTGGCAGCAAACAGCACTCCTTACTAACACTGATGATGTTACCTAGCTAGGTAATGAAATGTCTGTAAGAAAACAAGCAAGCTTCAGAGAGCACCAAGGACCTCTCAGCTCTGAGATTGCAACACGTTTGCTGCTACACTGCATGATGGCCTGCTGGAAAGAATTGAGAGACCAGGAGGTTTCTTTCATTAGTATCACAACTGGATGGTCTTTCAGTCAAATCTAATTCTCTGAATTGCACATCCAGTATCTCAACCCCATCTAAGGAGATTCTCAATCATCCAGGTCATGGTTGTCTCAAAGCTGTGACAACTGGACTTTACTGTTGTTGTTTTTTTTTTTAAAAGAAAATCCAGTTGCCTTTTGGAAAAAGCACCTTTGGAATATCTCCATCCTGTTTCTCTGTCCTGTATCAGGGGCAGTATTAGAAAAGAGGGGATTGACCTCTTCTCCAAAGCACCAAAGGGAAGGACATGAAGTGAAGGGTGGAAGCTTATTAATGAGAAATCCAACCTAGAAGTAAGGAGAAATTTTCCAACAATGAGAACAATCAATCAGTGGAACGGCTTATCTCCAGAGGTTGTGGGTGCTCCATCACTGGAGGTTTTCAAAAATAGACTGGATAACCATTTGACCAGGATAGTATAAGGCAGCAGTTCTCAACCTGTGGGTCGGGACCCCATTTGGGGTCGAACGACCATTTCACAGGGGTCGCCAAACAACGCATTCTGCCATTTTTTCCCCTTTTCCTTAGCTGTGCTACTCCCTTTTATTCTATTGGCTTTTGAAAGCCAATAGAATAGACTCTCTTGAATAGAGTCTATTTCTATTGGCTTTCAAAAGCCAATAGGAATTGTCCAGGCTGTCTCTGCCCTGCTGAGCCCGCCAAAAGTCCCATTCTGCAAACGGTGCTGCACCAGTTGAGTAGTCCTCGACTTACGACCGGTTGAGTAGTCCTCAACTTTCAACCGGTTGGGGGTCGCGGCATTAAAAAGGTTGAGAACCACTGGTATGAGGTCTCCTGCCTTGAACAGAAAGTTGATTAGAAGACTTCCAAGGTCCCCTCCAGTCCTATGATTCTATGCTCTATCTTCTGTGCTTTCTGAAATGGCTTGTGGACTGGAGTAGACAGAAAGAGGTGGAAAGAGAAATATGCAACAAAGACACACAAAACGGAAGAAATCCTTGTTTCTTGAAAAATCTATCGAGACCTGTGTGAGGGAAACAATCAGATATGAGCTCATCAAAGTAACATTCATCATTTGTTTAATTATTTGAGTGTCTATTTTACCTATGAATTTGTTGAATGTTCTCCTAATGACTAGGACAGTGATGGCGAACCTTTTAGAGACCGAGTGCCCAAAAACTGGCCCCGCCCCCATTCCACTCCCCCCATCCCCCGTGCCGCCTGCCTGCAGGGCCACTCACTGCCTCCAGGGCCCGCCACAGATTGCCCAGGCAGCCCAGCAGCACTATGGTAGTCACGCCCTCTGCCCGTGCCCCGCAGTATCAACTGTGCACAATGGGGCATGAGGGCAGAGTCTTGTCTACGCTGCCTGGCTGCCATGTCCTTGGCTGCGCTGCTCCGCGTGGGCCACGCTCAGGGGCAACTCTCCTTCAGGGGGGCTGCTGGAGAGGAGGGAGTCGCAGGGGGAGGTGAGGCTGCAGCAACGGCATGTGTGCCCACAGAGAGGGCTTCGAGTGCCGCCTCTGGCACCCGTGCCTTAGGTTCGCCACCACTGACTAGGAGAAAAGGTAGAAGACTACAATCAAGACAAGGCAAGGCAAATTATACAATGTATTGATTAAAAATAAACTATGTTTTAAGGTCTGGTTGAAGAGCTGTGTCTTGATCATGGTTTTTTTTTTTTTTTTCAGAAGAGAACAGACTCCAAATGTGACTCCTGAAGGACCACATTTCCTAAATTGGGAGTGGTGCAAGAGAAGAACCTTTCCCACAGGCCTGATTAAGTGACTTCAAAACTTGGAGTATCTTCGAAAGCCCTAAGAATCTGTCCCTGACACAGTTAAGCCTTAAAGCATGTAACACCTTAAATGCTGCAAGGGCAGATCTTTCAACATTGACATCATGTGAGCTGATTAATCATGAAAAAGCTCACTTTTAACTGCCATGTTTTGCACCAAATGGGCACTTTTTCAAAGGTAGCTGAATGGAAAACACGTTGCAAAGTCAAGTTGCAACACAGCCAAGATGTGGATAATGGTTGCCAAATACAATCAGCTCAGGAACAACCACAGACCCAACGGTATTCTTCTTGCCAGCAACAAGGGACAATGAAGGAACCATCTCTGAACTAATTCCTATCACCTAATTTATTTTCTTGTTTATTCTCTCATGTATAAGGTGTTTAGAACAGAAACATTTCCTTATATTAATTCCAGGTATATTATTCTTGGTAAAAACTGAATCATCTTTCTTATCCACATGGATTGACAATACAGGTAGTCCTTGATGTACGACCACAATTGAGCCCCAAATTCCTGCTGCTAAGCGAGACAGTTGTTAAGTGAGTTTTGTCCCATTTTACGACCTTTCTTGGCACAGTTGTTAAATGGATCCCTGCAGTTGTTAAGTCAGTAACACGGTTGTTAAGTGAATCTGGCTTCCCCATTAACTTTACTGGTCAGCAAGTTGCAAAAGGGGATCACACGATCCTGGGACACTGCAACCGTCATAAGTATGAGTCAGATGCCAAGCATCCAAATTTTGATCACGTGACCGTGGGGATGCTGCAACAGTTGTAAATGTGAAAAACAACCATAAGTCTTGCCTGAGGCAGGACTAGAACTTAGTGTCTCCTGTCTTTTAGTGTTTGATTTTTTTCATTCATTTAGCTGCACTGGTTCTTTTTGTTTTCTGTCCACCTCAACACCTGGGCCTTGTACCTGCCAATCATTACCTGAAAAGAAAAGCATATTACCACTTGTTCTAGCCAATTCCAGTCACTAATGCTATCATTTTATATTTCCCTTGACCCTTTCTTTTTGCTTGCAGTTATTTTCTTCCTTTATTCTGCTGACTACTGTGTTGTTGCAATATTGCACAAGGGAATAAATAGGAACAGGCTACTGTTTTTTTTCCTTACCATTCATTATTTTCTAAAGTTCTGTTGTTTTTCTTCTCCAAAGTGTATACCCCGGTCACGTGAATAGGCATGTGTCTCTATGATTTCCTTACTGTTTCCTCACTGTTTTACAATCTCTCTTTCCCCCACAAGCATACACAACCATCTCTCTTTTGGCATCCTTCTGAAAGCACGAAACCTTATTTTATTTTAATTTTTAAGTCACTGGTTCCATCTTCTAAGGTACTACAAGATACTAAAGGTTTCTTTGCTTAACCTCGGCTAGGTCTCTTGCTTCATAATTAAGAGGGGGGGAAAACAGCCAAGTTTTGAAAACAGGTCTTTCATGCAACATGTGCTGGACTCTGAACAAGCTATCACACACTGCTTACTAAACAACACCCAGCGGTGTTGTAATCTGGCCCCAAATGGCTCTTCAAGGTTGTGTTTGTGTCTGATGGCAGGGTAGAGAGACCAAGATCTATAAAGGGACCTTCTGTGGCGGTCTGATTTTTCTCTCTCATTACCCCTCCTTTAAAATGTCTGCCTCTTGTCTTAGAAGAGAAATCCACACAGGCAGTGGTGGGATTCAGCCAGTTCGCACCACTTCAGCAGAACCGGTAGCTAATTTTTTGTTGCCCAGGCTCAGAATGGACTTCCGGAAGCGGCATGCACACAGAGAACCGGTTGTTCACCTATTTGAATCTCATCCCTGCATACAGGAAGTCCTCAACTTACGACCGCAATTGAGCCCAAAGTTTATGTTGCTAAGCGAAATTACTGTCAAGTGAATGTTGACCTATTTTTAGACTTATCTTGCCACAGTTGTTAAGTGAATCATTTTGTCATGGTTCCGACAGATGAAACTCTTCAAAGAACTTCAAGGCATTGTTTACCTTAAAGAATCTTTATTTGAGAAGCATAACATCAGCACTAGCATAATCGAAGCCAAAAACTGAATTTCCTCCCTCTTGAGCACATAGTAACAAAGCACCGTTCCCTCCTCCAATTAACAGTCATAAATCACAATCCCCAATTAGTTTAAAGCCTGGGCTTTCCCTCCAGCTCTCCAGCCTGCCAATTCTTATCATCTCTTATTTCAACAACCTTGATTCTCAAGCTAGGTTCAGTATTATTATGTCTAGCTGAACTCTCATGCACATTCCCCCCCCTCCCCAGCATCATCTAACTCTAAAAGCGAAAAGAAGAAAATGGCTACATCTCCATCTGTTGCCAAAGCAAAAACATCCAATGTTAGCAGCGATGACACACTGCAGTTGTTAAGTTAGGAATATGGTTGTTAAGCGAATCTGGCTTCCCCATTGACTTTGCTTGTCAGAAGGTCGCAAAAGGAGATCACATGATCCCAGGACACTGCGACCGTCATAAATATGAATAAGCTTTGCTGGCTGAGGAATTCTGGGAGTTGAAGTCCACAAGTCTTAAAGTTGCCAAGGTTGAGAACCCCTGGTCTAGCATTTGTAGACACCATGCAATTTCCCTGACACTGTATCCCATAGGCTAAATTAATTTAATTAATTAACTTGCTAAGACATTGGTTGCTGTGCTAACCTTACCACGGTCATTTTTAAACCAGCATTTATGGTTCTGAGGCATTTGTGACCCCCGATCATGAGTCAGTCAACAAAGCATAGCTGACTTCTTAATTGACGATCATGATTGGGACCAGAATTAACATGGCAAAAAAAGGTTGCAAAATCTGGCCTGCACTTAATAACTACCTTACAAGCATTCATTTAGCAACCATTCAAAGTTAGATGGCACAGGACAAGTGATTTATGACTGGTTCTTGCCCTTATACCTATTGCAGCATCCCCACCATCATGTGATCACAATCTGGGTACTTAGCAATGGGTTCATATTTATGACGATTGCAGCATCCCATGATCACATGATCACCACTTGTGACCTTCCCAGCCGGCCCCTAACAAGCAAAGAAGGAAGCTGGATTCACTTAATAATCGTGTGATTCATTTAATGGCCCTGGCAAAGAAGATCATAAAATTTGGGCATAGTCACATGATAACCACATTGCTTAGTGACAGAAATTCTGGACCACCTAATCATAAGATGAGGGTTACTTGAAGTCATTTTGGGTAGCAACAGCCAAATCTAGTCAAGAAAGCTAGACCTTCTATTTCAGGCTAGAAAAGTAGCTTGAATAAAGGGAGGCTTTACTCTACATTAAATAATAATTGCATGATTATTCTTTAGTATTATAAATAATAAATAGTATAAAAATAAATAATAGATAGTATTCTGTAGTAAGACAACACTTAGAATACTGTATCCTGTTTTGGTCACCATATTGAGACTCTGGAAAGAGTGCAGAAAAGAGCAACAAAGATGATCAGGGGGCTGGAGGCTAAAACATATGAAGAACGGTTGCAGGGATTGGGTATGTCTAGTCTAGTGAAAAGAAAGACTGGGGTGATAGAATAGTAGTCTTCCAATATCTGAGTGGGTATCACAAAGAAGAGAGGGTCAAACTATTTTCCAAAGCACCAGAGGACAGGACAAGAAACAATGGATGGAAAGTAATCAACCTAGAAATGAGAAATTTCCTAACAGTGAGAACAATAAACCAATGAAACAACTTGACTCTAGAAGTTGTAGGTGCTCCATCCCTGGAGGCTTTTAAGAAGAGATTGAACAGTCACTTGTCTGGAATGGCATAGGGTCTCCAGCTTGAGCAGGGGGTTGGACTAGAAGACCTCCAAGGTCCCTTCCAGTGAGAACAATAAACCAATGAAACAACTTGACTCTAGAAGTTGTAGGTGCTCCATCCCTGGAAGTTTTTAAGAAGAGATTGAACAGTCACTTGTCTGGAATGGCATAGGGTCTCCAGCTTTGAGCAGGGGGTTGGACTAGAAGACCTCCAAGGTCCCTTCCAACTCTATTATTCTGTTAATTCTGTTAAAGGTTTGTTCTCTTCAATGTAGGGATGGAGAGAAATGGAGAAACAGACAAATTCTTACCATCCTCCCATTTATTTTTTTCCTTTTGCAGGTGATGTCATCTACAGCAACTCCTGCAAAGAGCTACGTGTTGAGGGAAAGGGCTACTTGAACCCTCCTATAGCTACCCCCCAAAAGTGGTTTCTAGATCTCAGCCATCATCCTCAATGGCAATAAAAATAGCTCTTATGCAATCCAGGAGCTGATTCTGAAATTCTGACATTGTTGGGTCTTTCCCTCTTAGTCACCCTGATGTCAACTCATTTCCAAGCTGCCAAGAGAACTTGGTGTAGAAATAGCCTAAACCTGAAAGAGGAACCAAAGCAGGGAATTGGGAAACCCTCTTTGAGTGGGTCATCGTTTCTGTGCAACAAGCAGATGAGGAAAGCTTACAACAGCTGCCACCTTCTCTAAGAAGTGAAATATGCCAACTCAACAAAACGAGAAAAAAGGAAAAGAATAGGGAGGACAATCTTTCTTCTAGATTGTTCAAAAAGTTCCCAATTTCCAGATGGAGGGAGAATGGGTGAACTTTGGGCTTGGGGTAGCTGGGTGGTGATGGCCTTTGTTTTGCTTGCTTTATGATTCTGTGAGGGGATGTGGTAGGTAACCCTTTGAACGTTAGGAGTGGTGAGACTGTTCAAAAGTGGAAGACATCCATCACTTATTGTTCTGGAAGTTCTCTAGATCAGCGGACACCAACCTTTGCGGCTTGGTGGCCCAGCTGAGGGGGGAGAGGGGAACTGGGTCGCGTGAATGGTGGGCCAGTGTGCATGCACATGCATTTCAACTTGCACAAGTTGAGCTATGCACATGTATGCACCCACACCAGCCCACCACTCGTGCAAGTCAAGCTCCACACACATGTGCATGCTGGCCTGCCGCTTGCGCGGCCCAATTCCAAAGGGGCCATGGCCCAAGTGTTGGGGAACCTGCTCTAGATTCTCTGGATTGTCATTTCTAGGACCTGAATAGAAGACACTCCATGGCACTATTCTAAATCAGTTCAAGTAGTCCTCAACGTACAACCACAGTTGAACCCAAAATTCCATTGCTAAGCAAGATAGTTGTTCAGCGAGATTTGCCCCATTTTACGACTTTTCTTGCCACAGTTTTTAAGTGAATCGCTGCAGTTATCATGTTAGTAACACGATTGTTAAGTGAATCTGGTTTTCCAATTGACTTTGCATATCAGACAGTCATAAAAAGGACACTGCAAGCGTCATAAATACGAGCCAATTGCCAAGCATCTGAATTTTGATCACATGACTGTGGGGATGCTGCAACGGTCGTCAGTGAGAAAAATGGTCATAAGTTGCTTTTTTCAGTGCCGTTGTAACTTCGAACTGTCACTACACAAAATGTTGATAAGTTGAGAACTACCTGTGCTATCAGCTTATGGTCTCTTAGATTACCTTATTTTCAATCAACCTCCAATATAACATGCAATATATGTCTTTTATGCAACCCTTAACTACCTTATGCCTTTTTATAGCCTTTGTATTTTAT